AACAACAACAACAACAACAAAAAGTTATCGAGGAGTCTAGGCAGCGAGTAAAGTAGGGCTAATTTTACCTTTTGGATGTGAATACATAGCGAAACAGTCAATTCATGAGAAGAACATGTTTTTTTCATTGTCTGTTTACTTCAGCATTTCTTGAAAGTTTTACTTTCCTCATAGCAAAAACGTCCAGTAGAGTGCAAACAATTATTCCGTGAAACACTAATTGTTAATTAGTACAAAATAGTACTAATTAAGCAATAGAAAACAATGGAATTTGCAAGAAATTGTACAATTTAGTATTACTAAAGTTTCACGGCTATATTGTTTGCACTCTACCCCAGAGATCGCACTTTCTAATCTAAACACATCTATTGTTTTCTTTCGGAAATTCAATATTGGATAGTTTTTTTGGGCTGCTATGAAATTTAAACGAGCACCTTGACCCCTAATTTGTAATATATTTTATATATTTCTTATATACTATTCAAAAACTACTTATGTGCCGACTTTTAGGGGGAAAAAGTCATAAAAAGTTGCGCGATTGCAATATCTTTAGGTGGCTGCCTCCTACGCCATGAAACAGGCGCACAAAAACCGCTCAAAACAGCTGGAAAGCTTCCAAACCATTATTGAGGAACAATAAAAAAGTTTTATTCAAAAACCTGAAATTTTGCACGGGACTCTATATTTGTATTTTTGAATTTTCAAAAGCAAAATAGAATAATGGGTCTTATTCATAGATACATCGGTAAGCACACATTTTTTGGCACTCGATCATATTACAAATATATGTCAAGCGCAAGCTAGACGAAACAAAAATTTTGAACATGAATCTCACCATTTTCAAAATATTTTGAATTAGTATTTTTTTAAAAAAAGACGTATAAATTAGATTTCCTAAACAAATAACGTCAAAATATTGATTACTGGTGAGCAAATATTATTCAGCAGAAAGTAGAGACTGCATGAGCAGATATAAAGAAACATTTTAACTTAATCACGATACAGTAGCCTTTGAAGATTAAATAAAGTAAACATCTACTATCTTGATACTGATTCTCATTATATGATTTTGAATATCAATATTTCCGGGTATCTTTACTTAATTACTGGTAATATAAATATTGATTAATAAGATAAATAAGATAGCTGTTTGCATCTTATCATATATGTTTTTAATATTAAATTCTTAATTTCCTTGATGACTGTTCTTGATCTG